GGAGTTTCTATTATGTTCACTTCATTTACATGTCTATTTTTGTGCCCATACCAGGCTGCTTTGATTATAACTACCATGGAACATGTCTTGAATGTTGGTATTGTGTTATCCCCAGCTTTGTTTTTGTTGTATAAGATTGCTGTAGCTATTCAGGGTCTCTTGTGTTTCCATATGAATTTTAGCATCTTTTTTCCTAGATCTGAGAAGAATGTCATTGTTATTTTGGTTGGGGATTACACTGAATTTGGAAACTGCTTTTGGTAATATGAACATCTTGATGGTATTAATTCTTCCAATCCATGAACATGTAAGATTTTTCCTTTTTTGTGTGTCATTTTTCACTTCTTTCTTTAATGTTTTGTAATTTCCATCATAGAGATGTTTGACCTCCTTGGTTAAATTTATTTCAAGGTATTATTAAGCTTTTTGTTACTATTGTGACTGGGATTGATCTTAGAAATTCTTTCTTAGCCATGGTATTGTCTGTGTATACAAATGCTGTTGTGTGTGTTAATTTTATATGCTGCCACTTTACCAAGTCTTGTTTTTTAAAGATTTATTTATTTATTATGCGGAGTTACAGAGAGGCAGAAGGAGAGGGAGAGGGAGAGGGAGAGGGAGAGGGAGAGGGAGAGGGAGAGGGAGAGGGAGAGGGAGAATGAATCTTCTATCCTCTGGTTCACTCCACAAAGGCCAGAGTTGGGCTGATCCAAAGTCGGGAGCCTGGAGCCTCTTCCGGGTCCCCCACATGAGATTATGGGCCCAAGCACTTCTACCATCTTCAACTTCTTTCCCAGGCACATTAGCAGGGAGCTGGATCAGAAGTGGAGCAGCCAGGACTCAATCCAGCACCCCTATGGAATGTTGGCACTACAAGTGGTGGCTTTACGTGCTGCACCACAGCACCAGCTCCTACCATATTCTTTTATGCATTCCAGTAGTCTCTTAGTGCATTCTTTTGATTCCTCTATCTATAAAATTATGTCATGTGCAAACAGGGATAATTTGACTTTCCAGAGGTATCCCTTTGATTTCTTTCTCTTACCTAATGGATGTGGCTAAAACTTCCAGGACTATATTGAATAGCAATGGTAAAGTGGACATTCTTGTCTGGTTTCAGATCTTAGTGGAAATGCTTCCAGCTATTCCCCATTGAATAAGATGCTGGCTATGGGTTTGTCATAAATTTTCTTGATTTGTTGAGGAATGTTCCTTCTATACCAAATTTGCTTAAGGTTATTATCATGAAAGGGTGTTGTATTTTATCAAATGCTCTCTCTGATGGAGATAATAATATGGTTTTTATTCTTCAGTTTGTTAATGTGATATATCACATTTATTGATTTGTATATATAGAACCACCCCTTCATAGCAGGGATGAATCCCACTTAGTCCAAGAAAATGATCTTTCTGATGTGTTGTTGGATTCAATTAGTTAGTATTTTGTAGAGAATTTTGCATCTACACTTATTGCAGCTCACTTAACAATCGCTAAAGTATGGAATCAACACAGATGTCCATCAACTGATGGCTAGATACAGAAATTATGGTGTGTATATATACATACACACACACACACACACTACTCAGCCATAAAAAAAAAGAATGAAATTCTCAGAGTTACATAGAGAGATAGAAAAGAGAGAGGTCTTCCACCTACTGGTTCATTCCCCCAGTGGCCACAACAACAAGAGATGAGCCTATCAGAAACCAGGAGCTTCCTCTAGGTCTCCCACATGGGTGGAGGGGCCAAAATCCTGTCTTTTGCAACAAATTGTATGCAGCTGGAAACCATTATACTTAGTGAAATAAGTGAGTTTCAAAAAGACAAATACCAAATGTTTTCCCTGATCTGTGGTAGCTTATAGAGTATAAAAATATATACTGTATAGGAGTGAAATTAACATTTTGAGATTGGATGCTTGTTTACAGCCCTTGTCTGTACTGCTGAGGAACAGTGTTTTCTTCTGCTTACTATTTGTTGAACTCTTTACTTTGTATAGGGTTAATCTTATAAAGTAAACCAAAAGATCGTTATAAAAATTAAGAGAGGGAGGAAGAGGAAGGAAGAAGTAGGAAGGGAGCTTGGGCAGGAAGGACGGTAGGGTGGGAAGTATCACTGTGTTCCTAAATCTGTATGTAGGAAATATATGAAATTTGTTTACCTTAAATAAAATAAAGTTTTAATTAAAAGGACAAAAAGGAGAAGAAAAGTACTGAAGTAGTTCAGGGAAGAAATTTAGAGCATTGGAGCCAATTCAGTGGAAGAGAGCATAATAATAAAGGAAAAGTACAATTAAGAGAGCACTAAAGTACATTTGGCAAGAAAATAGGCTACATGATGCATAATTACTTTTGATGGTAATATTTTTAACATCCTAATTGGCAAGGGACAATTGGGATAGGGTGAAGTAAGGATCAAATTGGGGCAGATTAGGCTATGCTTTTAAATATAATCAGTTACCTAATCCTACAACCCATGATATTCTTGTTTTGTTATACATATTAAGTATACAAAAATTATCTTTTAGGTATTTCACAAAGATTCTTATGGAAATATCTTACCTATACTGAACAGTTTTTATAAAAATAACAAATTTAACCAGGTAGCTTATATTTTCTAACCTTGAATACCATATTTGAAAATATTCAAAGACAGCAAGCAAAAATTTACTGAACGTGTGTGTGTGTGTATGTGTGTGTGATAGTCATTTGACTAAATTTGAGGATATATAGTTGCCAAAACATTGCATTCATAGTGTTCTTTATGCTCATGTGAGATCTTAAACATGTTTATCAGAAAACAGCTATCTCCACATGTACTTCACCTATGGCATAGTCCTCCATGCTTCTCACCTAAGCCAAAGCCTCCCCCTAATCTCATGCATTGTCCCTGGGTATCCTGAAAGGAAGTTGTACTTTCCTTACTGCCAAATTGTGACTTTTCATTAACTAACCATCTTGTTGAAGTCTGGCTATTACTCTATGAAAGAAGAATAGGGTAAACCTTTAGCTGTTTCTGTGCTGATGAAGAATAAGATTTCCAGGGGCCAGCGCTGTGGCTCAGCAGGTTAACACCCTGGCCTGAAGCGCCAGCATCACATATGGGTGCTGGTTCTAGTCCTGGTTGCCCCTCTTCTGATCCAGCTCTCTGCCATGGCCTGAGATAGCAGTGGAAGATGTCCCAAGCCTTGGGCCCCTGCAACAACATGGGAGACTAGAAGGAAGCTCCTGGCTCCTGGCTTCAGATTGGCGCAGCTCTGGCCATTACGGGCATCTGGGGAGTGAACCAGTGGATGGAAGACCTCTCTCTCTGTCTCTACCTCTCTCTGTAACTCTGCCTGTCAAATAAATAAAATAAATCTTTTAAAAAAAGCAGATTTCCTTCTCTTTTTATTTCATTTTTGTAAGTCCATCCAAAAAACCTACTTTAAACAAAAATACACACATGTAAGTGTATTGGGTACTTGTGAAGAGGTAATGCAAAATTTTGTTTAAAAAAAAGAGTAAATTATGGTCTATGATTTAAAAGTGGTTGAAGAACAACATAATTGAAAACAATAAAGCTCATACTACCAAAGCTTCAAACAACCAAAAAATTCAAATACATGTATTTTGAAATATATAATAGTATTGCTGAAGGACTGTAGAATACTAAAATTAACACATTTTGAAAATTAACAAATCATGCTCAATAAAATTTATTGTGTGTGTTTCTTGTATATTTTACCATTAATCAATTTAGGACATAAAATTATTTTATTGATCCTATAAAGAAAAGTTTTGAACCTCTGTTTTTGGGAAAGAAAATTTTAAACAAGCTGTTTATTCTAAAAAGAACAAGCTATAATGTTCTGCATTCAGTTTCTGACTTCAGTAGTCTCATGTAATGATAAGATACTGAATAGTGATAAATTGGCAATTGAATGAGCATTTTGTTAAAATTCAGAGTAACAAAACAAAATTAAGACAAATTTGATAAACATTTAATGCAATATAAAGCACTAAATAGGAAAAATTAATTTTATGAACAGCTTATATAAGAAAAATTAATCTTAGGTAATAACTTTCAAATGAATTGGTGTTTGGCAAAACCAAAATTTTCCTTTAGTTCTTGGCAAACTTCGGGATTCAGATGCCTATGCTCAGTTGTACTAGTTGCTTGGATTTTCTAGTTTCTTGTAGTTGTAACCTATAAGAAAATCACTAAGTAAATAATTAAATGTATACTCCCAAATATTCCAATTATTATTTTTTAAATATTTATATATGACTTTTATACTATAGATTAAAGAATCTATTGAAATATTTAATTCATGTACTTCCTATTAAGGAGAGCTTTATTTTTTATTATATGTATATATATGCCTAAGAAGGCAACTTTTAAAATTTTTTTTTAATTTTTTTTTGACAGGCAGAGTGGACAGTGAGAGAGAGAGACAGAGAGAAAGGTCTTCCTTTTGCCGTTGGTTCACCCTCCAATGGCCGCTGCGGCCGGAGCATTGCGCTGATCCGATGGCAGGAGCCAGGTGCTTCTGGTCTCCCATGCGGGTGCAGGGACCAAGCACTTGAGCCATCCTCCACTGCACTCCCAGTCCACAGCAGAGAGCTGGCCTGGAAGAGGGGCAACCGGGACAGAATCCAGCGCCCCGACCGGGACTAGAACCCAGTGTGCTGGCGCCGCTGGGCGGAGGATTAAGAAGGCAACTTTTTAGTACTCAAATATTTGTCAAATTAATGAAGATGTTCAATCTCTATATCTAAGCTCATGATTTATAAAAGTAACCTCCCCCCAAGAATGTAAGATATATCTTAAGTTCTAATACCAAGTCACAATATTTTTTTTTACAGATGGTCATGTACTAACACTGATGTGTATGCATACCAATTATTCCACAAAACTATCATTAGGATGAGTTGTAATTATATTTATCAGTTAGCACTAATGTGTTTCCACTGACGATATAAACCATTGTTTCTTAACTTAATGCTATCATTAGAGATATGAAAATCCACCTAGAGAAAAATTTAGAAGAAGAGCGCCAAATATTACTACAGCAACAAAAAATATGTCGAAATCGAGCACGTAAATATTTTGTGGAGTCAAACCGGAGAAAAAAGTAAGTGATTGTATTATATTGAGAAGCATAGAAATGCAGTCAATATAAATTGTTTCTCTACTGTACACATCTTTATGGACCTAAGTCATTACCTTGCCTTTTCTATAAAACATTGATCAAGATGCATGCTGCTTTGTTAATGTTATTGTTTTCTGCCTAATGGACAAGGATAGTGGTGTATTGTCTAGTTCACTGACTGTGACCATAGTAAGCTTTTCTTGTCATAGAGCAGCTTATGACAATGCCAAATACACATCATAAAATATGTTATATTTTTTGTTTTTTAAAATCATTTCATGATGAATTAGAAGAGTGCCGATTAGTATTTAGTCTCTAATAAGTTAATTTTATTATTCATAAATATACATTTTCTAAATGTGCCATTTTCTTTCAAGTACAAAAATGGGGGAAAATGAATAATGGTGGAAATGTATAAAAATGATTTTATAAATAACTGCCAAAAAGAGTTTTCTACTGTAACCTGGAAGCTAAAGTAAGCAAAAATGCCAACTATCTAATCACTGCCTAATGTTTTTCAGGATTTTTAAAAATTAATAGATATCTCTTAAGACAGTAATTATGACATTATTATTGTTTTTACTATCTTCTCCATAGTTTTATAATATATGAATAGCAGAAAACCTCTAGAGTTTATTAACTGCATCATTGGTTATATGTTGCAAATCTCATTTGAGGAATACAAAACTGTTTACCTGTAATTTATTTTCTTGTGTTATAGTTCTCTCTAGATGAACTCTTTCATTGTCTGATGTAGTTGAAATTCTTTCATGAAACTTAGTTTTGTTTTTGCTTTTTTGGTTTCTGTTTTTCTCTTACTTTTTGACTCCTGAAGCTTCTGAAAGGTACATGATTGTATTCAGTAAAGATGAATGGACTTCTGAGTCAGAGATCTAAAACATCTTAGTTCTCTTAATTAAAAAAAAGATAATTTCATCTCTTTGAGCCTCAGTTTTCTCCTTTATGATTGGAATTAATAGTATCTATCTCAAGCAATTTTTATGTAGGAAAAAGAAACAAAATTATATGAATATTTCATAATACAAGTAAAATATACTATGATGTCTGGCAGTTCCATCTTAGATAGTTTGTTGAACAATAAACTTTTGTCAATTATCTATTTTCTTTTTACAGAAAACTTTTCAATTATCTATTTTCTAGTAATTGACTTGCTTTGTGAAATAGTATCCATAAAATTCCTATTTCTATTCCTTCATTAAATACTCATAATAATTCTGATGCAGAAAATAATAAATTTTTATTTAAAATTTTAAGATGCAAAATATTATCTGATACAATTTTGCTATATTTTGTTTCTGTTACCCTAAATTAAAATGTAAAGACATAAAACTTTATTTTAAAATACTAACCATTTGTCCCTCTATCTCACCTTTTAAAAATGAAACCAAGTTATTTATGCATTTCTAGATTTCAAAAATTGTGGGAATGGCAGTTTTGGCCATGCCATTATCTGTCCATTTATCCATCATCTGTATTTATTCTGTCCACTTACATTGTGGTTATGGAGGGTTTTTTTAAGTTTTTCCCCCCTTTATAGGGACAGTCTCCTAGCCAGTTGTCATTTATATTTTGACAGTGTCAGTGTTACTTCCCCAGAAGTAATCAAAGGGAAATGTTCCTAGCATCCAGAACTCTATTTCCTTTAATTGTTTAATATCACACAAATTTTTTCTTCACTACATTCTTGCATTCCTATTACCCATGTTTTTGCATTTATTTATATATATGTGTGTATATATATATATTTATACATATTTGGACAGGCAGAGTTAGACAGAGAGACAGAGAGAAAGGTCTTCCTTTTTACGTTGGTTCACCCCCAAAGTGGCCACTACGGCCGGCTCGTTGTGGCTGGTGTGCTGTGCTGATCCGAAGCTAGGAGCCAGGTGCTTCCTCCTGGTCTCCCATGCGGGTGCAGGGCCCAAACATTTGGGCCATCCTCCACTGCACTCCCGGGCCACAGCAGAGAGCTGAACTGGAAGAGGAGCAACCAGGACAGAATCCGGTGCACCAACCAGGACTAGAACCCGGGGTGCCAGCACTGCAGGCGGAGGATTAGCCTAGTGATCCCTGGCACCGGCCCATTATATATTTTTTTTACATTCTCAAAAATATTTATAAAATGGTATTTCATTTTTTGTTACTTTCCAACAAATTTTTTTAAAGATTTATTTATTTCATTTGAAAGCCAGAGTTACAGATGAGCAGAGGCAGAGAGAGAGAGAGAGAGAGAGAGAGAGAGAGAGAGAGGTCTTCCATCTGTTGGTTCACTCCCTAGATGGCCACAATGGCTGGAGCTGTGCTGGCCAGGGGCCAGGAGCTTCTGGGTCTCCCACATGGGTGCAGGGGCCCAAGGACTTGGGCCATCTTCTACTGCTATCCCAGGCCATAGCAGAAAGCTGGATCAGAAGTGGAGCAGCTGGGACTTAAATTGGCACCCTTATGGGATGCCAGCACTGTAGGTGGTGGCTTTACCCACTACACCACAGCATGAGCCCCAAACTTCCAAAGAATTTATCCCTTCAACTTACTGCTCCAGTGGGTTTTTACTACATTTTAGGCCTACTGCACAACTAGAATCCTGCAATTTCTCTATATCACTTCAGGAGTTGGAAATACAATTTCTTGCCTCCAGTAACACACCCCACACTAGTTTTTTAATATATATCATTGCTGGAGTACATCCCCAAGTAACTTTCTTTTCTTTTCAAAGATTTATTTATTTATTTGAAAAGCAGAGTTAGAGAGAGAGAGAGAGAGAGAGAGAGAGAGAGAGAATCTTCCATCAGCTGGTTCACTTCCCATATGTTGGTTGGGCTGATCCTAAGCTAGGAGCCAAAAGCGTCTTCTAGATCTCCCACATGGATACAGGGCCCCAAGTACGTTGGCCGTCTTCTGTTGCTTTCCCAGGTGCATTGGCAGGGAGCGGGATCTGAAGTAGAACAGCCAGGATAGAACCTGCACCCGTATGGCATGCCAGCATTGCAGGCAGTGGCTTTACATCCCAACGTAAATTTCTAATATGCTGCTTTGTAGACCAAGTAATTTTAAGATACATAAACATAAAGGAAAGTAATTTAATTCCTATATTGTTTCAATTCACTACTCATAACAATCTTTTGGTAGGTAAATAGTTATTTATTCAGTCAACATATATAGCTAATTGAGTACCAATGATTCAGCAATATGTCAGGAGAAAAGTCTGTTTTGTTAGTGTATTCTATTAGACTTCAGACAATGGTGATAATCTGATTTAATGCAACCTCATGAGAAAAAGAAATTGAAGTAAATTTTAAGAAATGCCCAAAGTGAGCTTTCAGATTGTTTTATTTATTATTTTTATTATTTTAAATTTATTTACATAAAGAGAACAGATTTCATGCATTTCATAAATACAACTTTAAGCATATAATGATGCTTCCTGTCTCTCCCTCATTCATTTCTTTTGTTTTCCAATTAATTTTCAGTAACATACTTTCAATTTATTTTATACTCACAGGCTTAAACCTCCACTAAATAAAGGATTCAACAAGTAGAAAGTAGAAAGATCACTGTTCAGCAGGAGTATTGACAGGGGCTATAAACAATAATCAAATCTCAAGAAGCCAATTTTACTTATATACATTATATTTTTCTACTCTATGTATTATCTACAAACCAAAGAAATATGGTATTCATGTTTTGGAGTCTTGCTTACTTCACTAACCATAATAGTCTCCAGTAGCATCTATTTCATTGCAAACAAAGGATTTCATTCTTTTTTATGATTGAGTAATAACTGTTGTATGTATATACCACATTTTCTTTTTCCAGTTATCAGTTGATAGACATCTGGGTTCATTCCATATCTTAGCTATTATGAATTGAGCTGCTATACACATGGGGGTACATGTAACTCTTTCATATACTGATTCCATTTCCTTTGGTAACTTCTCAGGATTGGGATGGCTGGGACTTACAGTAGGTCAATTTTCAGATTTTTGAGGAACCTCCATACTGTCTTCCATAAGAGTTCTACTGTCTTACATTTCCAACAGCGGTGTATTAGGGTACCTTTTTCTCTACATCCTCACCAGCATTTGTTATTTTTTGAGTTTTGGATGATAGCCATTCTACCTGGAATGAAGTGAAACCTCATTGTGGTTTTTAGTCGCATTTTCCTGTCGGGAATGTTCTCTGAACATTTTTTCATGTGTCTGTTGACCATTTTATTTCATCCTTTGAAAAGTACCTGTTGTCCTTTTCCCATTTCCTAACTGAATTGTTGTGTTGTTGCTGAGTTTCTGTGCTCCTTATATATTCTGAGTATTAATCCTTTATCAGTTGCATAGTTTGCAAATATTTTCTCCCATTCTGTCAATTGTTGATTGTCTCCTTTGTTTTGAAGAAACTTCTTTAGCTTGATGTAATCCTGTTTATTTTTTTCTTTTATTGATTGTACTTCTGGAGTCTTATCCAAGAAGTCTTTGCCTTGGCCAATGTCTTGCAGTGTGTCCTCTATTTCCCTCTAGTAATTTGGTGGTTTCAGGTCTTAGGTTTAGATTCTTGATCCATTGTGAGTTGATTTTGTATAAGGTGTGAGATACAGGTGTTGTTTCATACTTCTGCATATGAGATCCAGTTTTCCCAACACAAGTTAATGAAGAGATTATCCTTTCTCCAGGAAATGATTTTTAGTTTGTTTGTCAAAAATTGTAGATGCGTGGATTTCTGAAGTTTCTTTTCTGTTCCATTGGTCCACAGGCTATTTTGTGATAGCAACAGGATGTTTTGATTATAATGGTCCTGTAGTATGTTTTGAAATCTGGTATTGCGATGCCTCTGGCTTTGTTTTTGTTGTTTGACTGCTTTAGCTATTCACTGTCTCTTAAATTTCCATATGAATTTTAGGGTCATTTTTTCTAGATCCACTAAGTATGTCATTTGTATTTTGTTTGGGATCACATTGAACTGTAAATTGC